CACCATTTCTGGACCGCAGAGAGATCACGCACGGAACCCTGCGCGATGGCCCGGGGCTCAACCCGGCCCGGCCCACGGGCCTCCTCGTTGGCGCCAGCGCGGAAAGTAGGCAACCTTCACGCCGCGTTTCGTGTTCCAGCCACAGCAAGCGCTCCTTCCAGACCACGGACCCGCTGTGCGTGTGCCATCGTTCTCACGTCCTCAGTGTCTGCTGGCGAGTTGACGCCGCACACCTGCTCTGGGCTCTGCAATGCGCAGGCGCAACGCGCAGGTGCAATGCGCAGGCGCAACGCGCAGGCGCAAAGCGCACTCCAGGCCCGCCCACTCCGCAGCGAGGGCGCAGTCTGTCGTGCGCGTCGCGGTGGTGACGACAGCAGAGACGCCGGACGCTGGGGGCCGCCGTGGACTGCACCGTGTCCACGACAGAGCCCTGGGCTGGGCGCTTCGGCTCCTGGGAGCCCCGAGGCCGCAGGAGCAGGAGCAGTCGGCGGCCTCCCTTCCAGCCAGGACCAGACCCCGGCATTTAAGGACCCAGGTCGCCACATGTGACTGTGCGCGTCCTTCCGCCTCAAACCTCCGAGAGGTGACCGAGACGTGGCTGCGGCCCAGCCTTCCCTCAGGCCCCGAGGAAAGACGAGCCACTTGCACGTCTCGGTCTCTGAGCCTGGCTGGGCTCCTGAGGCCTGGCCTTCCGCCCGGGCCGGGCCTTTAGGTGGGCTTTGCTGTGGCTTCCGGCTGGGGAAGCGGCGACACCGCGGAAAACGCACGACCGGACTCGCTCATCGCGACAGAGCGGCGCACACCTGGCGGCAGCAGAGAACGGTGCTTCTGTGACGTTGCTCAGATACCAGTGTTTTTGGGGTTGCTCCGGAGACATGCCGGGCGAGTGCAGCGTCCAGAATAGCACGTCTAGACAGACTCCCACTGCCTGACCTTTGATGCGTTTCCCAGCCCGCCGGGTCTTGCCAAGCACACGGGTGACTCAGCAGCCGCTCGCTTCTCACCGTCATGAGCTGACGAGGCCCAGGCCACGGCCGTAAATTGCAGTCTGGCCGCTGGGGCGACGCGGCCCCTCCACCAGCAGGGCTCCCCCGTGGTTTCTGCGCTTGCTGTGTCTGGGTCACCACGAGCTGATCTCGAGTCCAGAAGCCACAGGCTGCCGGGAAACAGGGCTTGCTCTGGTGCGGGGAGGCAGCTGGAGACGGCTCTGGTGAGAGCGTGCACCGTGGCTGTCCTGCTGCCCCTCTATCCTGTGGAACAGAGCTCTGGCTGCCCAGTGCCTGGGGTAGAGCCACCAGTCACGGCTGCTACATAGCGTGCTGCCACCCTCTGGCCCCACCTTGGAGTCCAAACCTTTCACAGGCAGGCTGGGGTGACCTGGCTTGGGAGCCAGGAAGGACACCTTTTGCCCTGTACACGCTCACTGTGTCACCACCGGTTTCGTGGCCTTGGGTTGCCTACACCATTCTGAGCCCCACACTCTGCGGTCTAGACGCTGTCCGGCTGCGCGAGTCGCGGCAGCAGGGGCCACGTGGCTGGCAGTTTGCTTTAGAAGGACCCGCGTGTGGTGGCACAGGGGAGCATGGGAAGTGCCCAGTCTGGGGACAATGGAATTCACAGGGCGGGACCTTGGGGGAGGGGCTGGGATCCCAGCACCACTAGGCCACACCTCCGGCTGCCGTGGGCTGAGCTGTGGGGCTGTGATTCCACTGGGGCAAACCCTTGGCTCTAAAGCAGAAGCTGGTAGGAAGCAAAGGCTTGTTTCACTGGAAAGGAGACAGCTCTGCCAGGGCCACGTTGGTGCACGGAGTGAGGGACACCTGTGTCTTCACGCTGGTGCCAGTAGGCCACACACTAGCTGAGCTGCCTGAAAAGGGACAGGGAGAAACTCCCAGCAGGTAGTGTCCCTGCTGACCACAAGCAAAGTGATAGCATCGCTGTAGACCTTTCTGTGGCCCTGAGCGCGGCCCGGCCAGGAGTTGCGCTTGGAGCAGAGTCCAGCGTGACCTGCACCAGGAGTTACGGCCAAAGCGTGTTCCCGACACGCCAGGTCTGGAGGAGCCTGTCTTGTCAGCAGAGCATGTGGGTTCTCTGCAAATGCCAGAAGGGACGGTGTGCGGAGAGTCCTGAACCTCGGTGGGCGTCACTGGGAGCTCTGTGGAAAACACCGTGTCACCGAGCGACAGAAAAGTCAAAACACTTCTCTGAATTTCTCACAAATTATTCACAAATTATTATGGACGAAAAGACTCCTTTGGACGCTGGCGAGAAGCTGCGACAGGCAACACCCTGCCCAGCCCCGTGGCTGTGGTTCTCAGGCAGAGAGCAGGTGTGAGTCCAGGCCCGGCCCTGCCACCCTCATGGCCTTGACAGCCCCTGACTCGGGGTCCTGGGCAGCGATGGTGCCGGGGGACACTGTGGCCATTGTGATGTAGCATCTGGCAGGTGGCCAGGTGCTGTGGCCTGAGCCAAGGATCACACAGCTCAGGGGTCCTGGTGCCAGGCAGAGACCTGGTCGAATTAAAGGGGTGCAGGCCTCGGGGTGGAGAGTGTGTCCGGCTTCAGCAGGAGCCCCCGCCCACATCTCTGGGGCTCCCCAGGGAGGCGCCAGCCCTGGGTGCGAGACCAGCACTGACCGGGGCACTGGGAGCAGCCCTTGGCCTGCAGTGGGGACAGGGCACTGCTGTGCTGCCCACAGCACACACCTGCCCGCGGTCAGGGCATATGCGCTGGGCCCTGCCTGTGCCTGATTCCTCGTCTGGACCTTGGAAGACCCTTCCAGGGGCTCATGTCAGCCTCGCTCTGTCAGCACCGGTGGCAGAGCT